GTTTCATACTTCACATCTTAGAGTTTTCTATTCCTCATCAAGAAATCATAATCGTGAATTAAATCGTGAATAACATAAAAATATGGGACCAGCTGCTATTTCCAACACTGGTATATGTCAGGTTTTCTGATTTATGAGAGGTGAACTCGATTTGGAACCAGCAAACCAGCAAGTTTCCAAAATTTGCTGGGGGAGGACCCCTATACCCCCCCCGCCTTTTTTTCACCCCCCTCCTTGGAATCCTAGACCCACCACTAAACAATTACATATCTTGGGAGCAGAGAACAATGAACAAAAATGTCGCCCAAAACAAAGATTGCAGAGCTGAGAGGTAGAGGAGCCGTAGGGTGTGGAGAGGGAGGCGGAGGATCGCGCGAGCCAGTAAAATATTAAGTCATCCACTATTTTGCGTAGTTTGCTGTTTTTGGCCCCCCTTGTTAAAAAATCCTGGCTACGCCACTGTTTTTGGGTGTTTTCTGATCATATATTATTATGTGATTGAAAATAGAAGATTTGGGGATATTTTTTGGGACAACCAGAAATTGTTGCGGACAACCCGATTTGATGCCTGGGTTGTCCGCAGGACAACCACATTTTTTTTCTTATTTCGAGCACTGTGTAGCAAGGTGAAGTTATGCAGAAGGGAACGGTAGGCTTTTTTTCGCGCCAATAGCGGCGTACGGGCCGCATTAGCAGCGCATGCATTTTGCATGCGATCTCACGAAATTTCAATGAACCCCGTTCTGTCCCAATATAACCCTCACCAAAATATAAAAAAAGTTATATGGGACATAATTATTTGGTCTACTACTACTAGTACTACTAGTACTAGTACTACTACTAGTACTAGTAGTAACAAGCCCGCACGTACAGTACAGCACACACACGGCCATTGACTATTAATTATAACAACATGGTGCCCAACTCGCCGCCGCAGTTTCCACAACTCACCGTTTTCAATCAGTTACAACTCCGGTGTTCCTGCAGGTGACGCCATAGTCCGAGCCGACGCAGACCCCAGTAATGGTAAACCCGCACCCTCAGATTAGCAAAGCGGAGTTATAACGTCTGCATTTGCGGACTAGTGACGCCACTTTCCAACTATCGTTGGAATCGCGTAAGATTGCTGAACAAGTTACACCCGCCATTTTTGACAATCGGCCCGCCAGAATGCGCTCAAATCACAGAAATTCTTCAAATATACATGCAAAATGATGCTTCGGATGCTACCAGGCAAACGGGCTGCATGATTGTCAAAAATGGCGGGTGTAACTTGTTCAGCAGTCTTCCGCGATTCCAACGATAGTTGGAAAGTGGCGTCACCTGCAGGAACACCGGAGTTGTAACTGATTGAAAACAGTGAGTTGTGGAAACTGCGGCGGCGAGTTTGGCACTACTACTACTACTAGTAATATTATTAGTACGGGTACAGGGTTCTCCCTACGTTGCGCAAACGGCGCGCGCCCCGTTTGGGGAACTCCCCCCTGTTTGCAATCGTGCGCCCCGTTTAATATACCTCGCCCGATTAAATTCTACCACAATAAATTTGCCAGCGCGGGAATGCGATCGGCAAGAAGTAGCCATTCGACCAGGACACCAGGCGCGTGTATTTTACAGTACCCGGACGCATGCAACTGCCAGACAATACACAAGTACAACATCAACCCCCTGTCCCACACTCGAACACTAACTGTACACCGACTTAGGCTATCTAATATATACAAGAACCCCCAATACCGTCTATTGTGTGGTGGCGATTTAGCATTCAATTAGTTACGGTAAAAACCGCTCCTAGTTCCCCCCTCCCATCCCCTCCCTTCCCCTCCCCTCCCCCTGTTTGAATTTATCCTGGGGGACTCTGTCGGGTATGTAATGTTCTATTGTTTATGGATCGTTTTGCCGGGTGGAGAGGAACTCGGGATTCTAGGAATAAACGTGGTGGTTGAGTTTTACATATATATAGATCTGCGTCCTCTAATTTATTGGAGTAAGAGTGATGTGAAATAAAGATATCTACTCTAATTGATGCACTAAGAGAGATACAACACTGGCGACGAGGAAAATACTATTTTGGTGAAGGAAATTATCTGGAATGGAGATAAACAAGATACTGAAGTTTGACTGCTACTCTGATCCGGCCACGTGCGGTCCACGCTGGACATGATGGCTGACAGCGTTCGAACTATGCTGATGGGAAAGGTCTGATCGTTAACAAAGATACGGGCAATACTACGAAGCAAAGGAGAAGAGCATTGTTACTTCACTCCGCCGGACTTGATGTGCAGGACGTGTTTTCTACATTACTAGCCACCGGAGAAGTTACGGACTATGTTACAGCAGTGACGGCATTGAATACTTATTTCGTGCCCCAAGTAAATTCAGCGTTTGCGAGACAGACCTTTCACCAGATCACTCAGAAACCAGGTGAGACTGTGCAACAATTTGTCACACGTTTGAGGAAGGCGGCGAGAGACTGTAATTTTGGCAGCGATATTGAGAATCAAATCGGAGACAGTGTGCTGAGCAAGTGCTCGTGGGATTACGTTAGGAGGAAGCTGCTGGAAGAAGGCCAGGCATTGACATTAGGGATAGGCCGTGCCATACAAGTGGCAGACCAGTGCGAGATGGTGGAGGGCCAAATGGTGGCACTTTCGACGGCAAATAGCGGCGAAACTGTCAACAGAGTCGGTGAGAGGAGTGGAAACTGGAAGCCACAACAACGGAGAGCATGGAGTAAATCCGATAATAAGACTGTTACTGTTAGAGATAAGGCTTGTTATAGATGCGGATTAACTGGTTATTTTGGGAGCGATCCGAATGTGTCCAGCAAAAGGTCAGTCATGTAGAAAGTGAAAAGGGAAAGATCATTTTGCTAAAGTGTGTAGAACAAAGTCTAGGTCTGGGGTAAATTTAGTTAGTGAAAGTCCTAATGACCCCTGTAATTCAGATTATGCATTCACTGTGTCTGGTTGTAAATCAAGTATGCTTACGACATGTGTTGGTGGTGTGGATTTAGCAATGTTGGTGGATTCAGGTGCGACCAGTAACATCGTCGATGAGGAAACCTGGGAGGAATTAAAATCTAGAAAGATGAAGTGCAAGTCTATGGCTAGTACCACAGTGAGGAAACTGTTCCTCTATGGCTCTGATAAACCATTGCCAGTAAAGGGAAGGTTTGACTGTGTTATTCAGGCAGGGGGAAAAGTCGCTGAAGCTGAGTTCCTGGTAATTAAAGGGAAAGGTGTACCGTTGCTTGGTACGAGAGATATGGCGACGAAGTTAGGAGTCCTGAAAATTGGCATTGAGATTGCAGCAGTAAGCGATGTAGCCAGTGATATCCAACGACTGTATCCGGATGTGTTCCACGGTGTTGGAAAATTGAAAACTAGGCAAGTAATTATCCACATTGATCACACTGTACCGCCAGTAGCACAACCCTTGAGGCGAACCCCATTTAATTTGAGGGATAAGGTAGATGGAAAGATAAAAGAATTACTAGATCTAGACATCATTGAACCAGTCGATGGTCCCACACCTTGGGTAAATCCAGTCGTAGTCGTCCCGAAAGCGGCAGGTGACATAAGGCTGTGTTTGGATATGCGTAGAGCAAATGAGGCAGTTATTCGTTGGTCGATACCCCATACCCACCGTGGTTGAACTGCTCCAAAATAATGGATCAAAAGTGTTCAGCAGATTAGATTTTAAGGGGGGTTATCACCAGTTGGAGCTGTCTCCAGAGTGTCGTGAAATTACCACATTCGCCACTCATTCAGGGCTATATCGCTATAAAAGATTATTTTTTGGTGTATGTTCCGCCAGCGAGCAATATCAACACGAGATAGCAACAGCGTTAGCAGGCATCGAGGGTGTGGAAAATATCTCTGACGATATCATAGTGCATGGACCTGATAAAGAAACACATGATGATAGACAGCTACATATGAAACGGGCTTTAAGCCCTGTCTACACTAGCAAACTTTAGTTTGCAAACTCGAGCAAACTCCGAGTTTGGCAAGAAAAGTTTTCCAAAGTTTGTCAGTGTAGACCAGTTGACAAACTTCGGCAAACTAGTTTGCAGAAGTTAGGTCGTGCACCTTCTTGACAAACTAGTTTGCTGAGGTTTGGAATAACTCGGCCAATCAAATGACAGTTTGTAGTCATGTGATCCTGCAGATAGACAAACATTGGACATTGAACATTGGAATTCACAGTCAGTATCAGTAGTGTAGTGTAGTCAGTACCATAGTGTAGACAGGCACCACAAACTTCTCCAAACTTTAACAAACTCGGAGTTTGCTCGAGTTTGCAAACTAAAGTTTGCTAGTGTAGACAGGGCTTAACGCGAAGCTACAAGAGAGGCAGGAGAAACAGAAATTGCAGTATGGCAACCCCTCTAAGACACTATCTGTGCTCTACCCAGGTGATTCTGTACGTGTACTAGATCCCCACAGCCATCACTGGGAACCTGCAGTGGTGAAAACCAGTGAGCATAATCGCTCCTATGTTGTGGCAACAAATGGAAGCAGATTCAAGCGGAATCGACGCCAATTGCGCCTTACAGGAGAAAGCTTCAGCAGCGGCCAGGCAGATATCGCATCAGAGCATGCACTAGTGCTCCCTTCGCCTGATCCTCTGCCTGCTGAGAGCATATTGCAGGAACGCACTTCACCTCCAGCTACCCCGATTCGTCGATCAGCCAGAAAAGTGAAGCCACCTGAAAGATTAGACTTTATGAACATTTTCTGTAGAGCCATATCATTGTTTTTACACAGTACTGTATTCGTGAAAGTTGAGTTTCATTTTAACCTTCAGAAAGAAGGGGATGTCATAGTTTGTCATAGTTATGTTATATGTCACGATAGATGGCAGCACTGGTCCGCAGTGATGCACGTGTGGTTCTGCTGAGTAAACGTACTTATCACATGTATACTCTACGAGTTCTTTATCTAATTGCGTATCCGTAGTACGAAACCACGACAGTATGTTATATGCCAAAGGGTTTATTGCTCCAGGTTATTGTGTTCCTTTAAAGAAAAGAAGAGATGTAATGTTCTATTGTTCATGGATCCTTTTTGCCGGGTGGAGAGGAACTCGGGATTATAGGAATAAACGTGGTGGTTGAGTTTCACATACCTGCGTTCTCTAATTTATTGGAGTAAGAGTGATGTGAGGTAAAGATATCTACTCTAATTTATGCACTAAGAGAGATACAACAGGGTACTACTTCTACTACTACTAGTACTAGTACTAGTTATAATTTAATAAATATATTATTATTAATTATAACAACAGTAAACAACGTATGGCCATGAGTCGAGTGTAATACAAGCCTTATGTACTTTATTAGACACACGTATTGTTACCTCCGCCAAGGAGGTAATGTAATCTGTCTCGTGTGTGTGTTCGTGTGTGTGTTCGTGTGTGTGTGTGTAGCCACTAGTGTTCGCGCGATCGATTCAGCAGCAGCTCGCCTTCGTGTGTGTGTGTGTAGCCACTAGTGTTCGCGCGATCGATTCAGCAGCAGCTCGCCTTAGCGTGATCGATTCAGCAGCAGCTCGCCTTAGGGCGTCGAGTCAGCAGCAGCTCGCCTTAGGGCGTCCAGTCAGCAGCATCTCGCCTTAGGGCATCCAGTCAGCAGCAGCCAGCAGCAGCCAGCAGCGAGCCAGCTGTTATACACATACATGTTACATGCTGGCGGAGGTATGCACTCTCCGTGAGTGCCCTCTGTCTAGTTAAGCATACATGTGTAATGGTGGTGAGTGCTCAAATGTTTTGGCAAAATTGAAGGACGTTACTTTTACATGCTGTGTCATTTACAAAATTCTTCCTTTCTGTTTTTCAGTGCGCCTGTATGACAATGCCACTACCTGTGGTCTGGTATGGACATCTAACTTTGTTGCCTACCGTTGTCGGACATGTGGCATATCACTATACATGTCATTATGTGCAGACTGCTTCAGAGCTGGAAACCATGAAGGACATGATTACAACATGTTCCGAAGTCAAGCAGGTGGTGCCTGTGATTGTGGAGATCCCAGTGTCATGAAAGAGGAAGGGTATTATTTTATATTTAGTATTACTTATCTCTGAACTGCAATGATTGACACACAGATACACACACACGTGCACGCACACACGCACACATGAATCGGGGGGGGGGGGGGGGTGTCAATAATCAACAAAATAATCACACATTTTTAATTTCATTAATATATTTTGTTGTAATTAAACTAACTAACGAATACAATTTTTATTTGCAAGTACTATTGTCAGTACCCGGAGTAACAGAGATGGCATAGATGGAAAATTTGTAAACAGCGTCCATTATTATGCGTGTACACAGTACTACACACAGACACATCTAAGCATGTTAAACGAGGAAGTTTCTGTTTGAATTGTATTAAGATCAGGTTAGATGTGTGTTTTATCAGCCCTACGCGCCACTAGGTGCAAAGCGGATAGGTAACAGCAGAGCTATGTTTAAATAGCTACAGTGACTAGTTCTGTGTGGTTATACTTATTTATATTGTCATTAACTTTTATGCATTTGTAGGTTCTGTCCGAGACACGGTCCAAGCAAAGATGATAATAGTCCGTGTATACCAGAAGACTTGCTGGGTGTTGCTGAGGCCATGATGCCAAGAATCACCTTGAGGCTCGTGCAGTATCTGAGAGCTCAGCATGCGAAAGCTGGTAATAGAATGTTGGCAAGAAATTGAAAGGGATCAGAATTTTTTTAAATAAATAATTTAAAGGCATAATAGGCCCATTGATTATGCAAAGTTGACGAATGCTACAGTAACTGGCACCTTCTGTAGTTAATAAGTACATTACCTTATAGCCAAACGCGTATTAGTTCGCGATCCCCCCATAGTGTTGGCGCCCAACACAGCCTACTTCGTTATCACGAGCGTCGGTGATTCGAGTCGACTGATTTCTTGGACTGCGGATTTCAATTAGACATTTCTTAGTAACCAGCAGTGATATTGGACAAACCCCAATGATTATTTTGGGAAATTACATAAAAGCAACTTGTGATTTCGTATTGCAATCAATGTGGCCGTAATTTAATAATTACATATGTGCAAATTTATGCTGCAAAACTACGGTTGTTGCAATTTGTGGTATAGCTATGTGTATATACACACACATACAAACGCACATCAGGCACCACACAAGCAAACCATAGCACACGACACACACGGCACGCATCGCACGACATATTATTAGCCTATATATATTAATATGGGCTTCTTAGCTCATCGACGTAGTCCGATGCAGCTTGTAGAATCGCATATCGTGCGTGCTGCGTGCGATGCGTGCGTTGGAGTGCGTGCGTGTCGGCGTCCGTCAACAGTGGGGCACAATCTAACCTGCCTCGACGTAACGGTCCCGCAATATTCGGGAACGTGGGGGGTAATCCGAAAAACTAGTTGGATGTCGAAAGCTGGTCAAAGGGCAAGTCAAGAGGTGTAAAAGAGCGGAACATTCCCCTCTTAATTAAGGTATAGGAGGAAATGCAGAATGCGACCACAAATCTAAACGCCTCAACCTAGGCTCGTGATTAGTCGGTGTATAAGGCATCATGGTAGGGAAAAGCATCACTTGTGCCGAAATGGAGGTTCACAGTCAAAGCAACTGGGCACAAGGCAGATTTAGACATTTTATGATGAAACATGGTTCTTGACAGAGCAATGAAAAACTTTTTTTTGTTCAGCTGTGACCTATGCATGTTTTATGGCTTTATTGAAGACCATGAAATGTAACTTTCTGCCGGAATGCGAAGAGAAGTGTGAAACCTTTTGTCCTTGCAACAGGATGCGTTAAACATGATTTGTTTACTTTAGAAAAAGAATTTGAAACTTGCTCGTTCTAGTAGAATCTATCATGCTGGATGTAATGAGCATACAATGTCAACAGTGCAATCTCAAAGCTAAATTTGTTAAGAAGGTTATGCTCCTTTAAATGTATATATTTTCTATCATTTCTGTATTATCATGTTGTTACATGTAACTTAATTCCACGCCAGTGCAGTATGGTGAGAGTATGTGCGTTTTTGCCTGCGTTAATTATTACAGGTGGATGCTCTCTACTGCAGTCCATGTAGGCTTGCGACGGTAATCTGGATGAGTGCTTACCTATTCTGTCTTGCATAATAGTTGTTCTACCTACTTACGATGGACTTCCATCTTTAATCTAGAAACACTTAAAGACGCGTCCATCTCGTGGCAACTTTCTCCAAACTATCCAACGAACATTCCTTTGAGAAGGTTCCTGATACGCATCCTCGTCCGTTCTAGCTGTTTCGGCCGCGTATGAACACATTGGGACTAACAGGTTTACTAAATCCCACCACTCCACCCACAGAGGTCACCGCAGTAGATCGTTGGATGAGGCGCCTGTCGCTCCACACGGCACTTGTTTGTTTTGAATCTTTTTTGATATGTTGGTTCAGCGACTTATCTATGATTAGCACTATCTTCCTCATCGCAAATAAAAGATTGTAGGTTTTCATTCGATTTCTGCACACACCAAGTATATGGGGGCTGGCAGCAATGCAAAGAAAACTCATACATGCATAATCAATGCCACTAATTACAAGAATTTGATCGAAGTCATGTAGTAAGTGAATGTGTACCAAGGGTTAAATATTACTGTTGGACATTCCCCTTAATGAACTTGTTCTGAATTTTCTTCTCAACTCACCCATAATTCACCGCCACCCAAGCAAATGATAAATAATTGGTAAGTGTGTACATTACTGGTGGAGATAAGTCTTTCTAGATTTTTCAAACTAAATGATTTGGATAAATTCATGTTCAATTGCATCAAAATATACCCATGTAATTTTTGTTGCAATGGGAACAGAAACGAATCCGTACATGAAAGAGAGTCAGCACAGCTTTCAGCATGTTGTGGCAAGCATGGGTGAAACGCAGTTTTCGTAATTTGGCTCAAGCACAGTGCTTGTTTGATTGCATGCATAAATACGAAACATTGATTATTGCAAATGTACCTCATCATGTCTGTTATTACTGGGGAGTAAGTAAAGTTGATGTCATGTGAACCTTCATTTGGGAAACCTAAAACTGTGAAATATCAATATTGTGTTTTGTTGTTGTTATTAACAGACATTGCATTCCCCATTGAAACTAAAATAATTATATGTGGTTTTTATGTGCACAATGAAGGTATTTTGTGTGAAATCACAACATTAATGGCACTGTGTTCGCAGGCATGCGACTTTCAAGACAAAGTTGAGTACAAGACCTTTCTGATGAGCTCACACTCTGGACAGTAAAGTAATAATTCCGGCAAAGAAGCTGTTAACTATTGCTGCTCAATATGCTTCACAGAGAAACGACATAAAGTATGCTTTTTTTGCATCTAGTGTCAAATAGTCAAATATTCTAAATATATAACTAATATAATAAATAAATAATACTGGTGACCTAAACAATGGAGTGTGCAAGCCTAACCTTTTGAAAGAGAAGCTGGTAATCTCAGACAGCAGCTACGAAAATATAAGCATGCTTATTGTTTAAATAGAGGCAGCGCATTACTTTTATTATGAAAATGAATTTTAAACCATATCGCCAGTTTTTTGGTCTATATCTCTGAATTAATAAAATATAGCTGGGAAAAGCAAAATTCAGTATGATGCTAAGCTGATGTCCGAGCGCATTGAGCTTGGGTTTATTCTGAGTTAAAACTTAATAAATCAATAGTAAATAACTCAGTAAAATTGAATTCAATAATGCAAGTCTTCACCACCGCTTCTTCTTATTTACTCCTGATATAATCACATATAGTAATCAGTGGCTACAGGTACCGGATAGTCCACGTGTCTGTGTGAAATTCTACATCTATTGGTGCGCAGTCAGCTTTCTTCTGGACGCTACAATTTACTCTGTTTCCCCAGAGATGTACCGATGTGCGCGAACATGCTAAATCTATAGATACGAACAAATTTGTTGCATTAGTGGCTGGAAAACTATTGCTGTATGGAACAGTGACATGATTTAACACACAATTATTCGCTAGAAGGTCTCACTGGGGTACTGCGTGCCTAAAACAAGGTGAATGATTGAACAATTCTATATGCGGTCTTTCCTTTTAGGCCCTTATATGGGACTGTTGTTCAGCAAGGTGAATGATTGAACAATTCTATATGCGGTCTTTCCTTTTAGGCCCTTATATGGGACTGTTGTTCAGCAAGGTGAATGATTGAACAATTCTATATGCGGTCTTTCCGTTTAGGCCTTTATGGGGATTGTTGGTCAGCAAGGTGAATGATTAAACAATTTTATATGGAATTGGTAGGAGGCCTTCACAAGGACATTTGTTCAGCACTACACGCGCATTTCTCTCGCTCTCGCCAACTCCAAGCAGTCGAACACACTGTCGAACCGCGTGGTGCACGTGAGTGTGCAGCTGTTCAGCAATGAGCAGCTGGCTCTGAAGATGGCCGAGGAGAACCACCTGATCACCACAATGCTCATCAGCCTCACACACATGGTCATGAATGCCCTCGTTAATGGTATGTGTGTGTGTGTGTGTGTGTGTGTGTGTGTGTGTGCGCGTACGTGTGTGCGTGAGTGAGCATGCATGCATGCGTGTGTGCATGCGTGCGTGGCGTGCGTGTGAGAATATTTGCTGGGAATACATGTGCCAGTTCTGATTACAGTCCGACCTCCTTTATCCGGCCATCCGTTATCCGGAAATCTCTATTAACCGGCCGCGATCTCGCAGTGTATGTTCTCTGTTTTTTCATTCATTTCCACATAAAAATCTTGCTCAAAGCTCGCTCAAAACTCGCGCGATGTACCAATGATTCTCGCGCGATGTACACATTGATTATCGTAAGAGCGCACAGCTATCACATACACAAAACAAACACACTTATCGTAAGAGCAAACGCCCATGTACACGTACATGTATAAATATACGGCCATATTAATACGAATATTTCACGAATACGTACTCACTTGTTGATGCTGTAAAAACTACCAAGGAATAAAAGATATATACATTGTATACTATATGAATGAACCAAAATGTGTGTGCATGCGTGCGTGCATGCGTGTGTGTACAACTTTCGTCCGTTAACGAACAACTTTAACTAGCGGACGTTAGTGAAACGCGCTACCTCGCTACGCACTCGCATTCGATCTAGCCCCGTACTGCAATCAAAGTCGTCGCTGCCGCGCATATGTTACAGCCCTAGCCTAGGCATACAACGCCGTGAGTGTATCGATCATTACAGCCCTAGATCTCAGCACAAAAGAAACAAACGTAAACCGAAGTGGTAAAATTTTTGTTTTATTTTATTTTATTTCCATATCATATAAACCATAAAACACGACAGTTTGTTACAAATAATCAATCATAGCAACGAGTAAATACATTATCACATGCATAAACCCTACTGAACTGCATAGAAATGCTGTGTTTGAGCATAACTCTCATATCCGGCCAAATCCCATATTCTGATGGGTGCCGGTCCCGACGTGGCCGGATAAAGGAGGTCGGACTGTACATAGTAAGTTACATTTAACATGATGATTTCAGGTGTTTTCCCAACGGTTTCTGTATTTTCTCGCCCATTCTGATACTTACCAGTACTTTTTGTGTAACACCAAGTCTATAAAGCAAGACTTACATGCTTAAGGATACAGTCAAGCCTTTGCATG